ATGGGCACCGGTTCAAATCCCGGCAGCCCCACTTCCCACCCAGCTCCCTGCTTGTGGCCTGGGAAAGCAGTCGAGGACGGCCCAAAGCCTTGGGACCCTGCACCTGCGTGGGAGACCTGGAAGAAGCTCCTGGTTCCTGGCTTTGGATCAGCTCAGCTCTGGTAGTTAGGGCCACTTGGGGAGTGAACCAGCAGATGGAAGATCTTTCAGTCTCTTCTCTGTAAATTTGACTTTCCAACAAATATAAAATAAATCTTTAAAAAGAAGGAAAAGCAGTAGGTAAAAGAAAGATGAGAGCATCCGGGAGAAAGATGGAACGGGGGAGGGAGGGGACACAGGGAAGGGGTGCCTTGCCCCACCCCGAGATGCAGGCAGGGACCAGGTGCATCACATGTGCCGTGATCTGCAAGCCTTCCCGAGCCCCGACCATGCCTTCCCACCCTGCCCCTCCGCCGCTGCTCATGCCTCAACCAAGTGGGCTTGTGGGGGCCAACCGAGTGGGCTCGGGGACCAGAGAGGCCAGGAGGGTAGTGCGATTGAAATAGTGCCGTTTGGGAGACCAGGGGTTCTGGGCAGCCGCTTGGCCCTCACTGCTGTTCCCTAGGGTGACAGGAAGCCTCTTATCCTAGCACACGCCTGTCGGCAGCCACGGTGTGCAAGGCAGAGAGACCCCTGACAACTGCCATGTGCGAAGGCCAGCCCACATGCCCACCTCCTCCTGCTGGCCCCAGCAACAGCCCCAGATGGAGAAGGAGGCCGAGGCTCCGAGAGGACTGTGCGTTGGCCATGGCCACACAGGGGGTAGGAGGTGGCTGTTTGGAGAGAGCCCGGTTCCTGGGGACCAGGACGAGGTGGCCCTGGGCTCAGGTGAGTCAGGGGATCAAAGTGGCCCAGGCTTGGCCCCAGGCTGCCCTGTGGGATCAGGGACCACCATCCCCTCCGTGGTGGGTGCTATGGCACTGCTGCGGGCGGGCCCGCCTGTCTCTCCTGCTGACAGCCCTGTGCTGTGTGCCAGCCCCAGCCGGTGTGGGTGGCAGAGGAAGGAAGCAGCAGGCACTAAGGAGGCTGGGCTGCTGCCACGCTGCGGCGGGAAGGGGGGCCATGGTGGTGAGGGAGTGCTGGGGGTTGGGGGCTTTGGGGAATCTGCCCTTCTGGATTGGGGAGAGGGACTCCCCTAACATCTATTTCCAATGCCCGGTGCTGGGGCCCAACTCTCCACGGCTGGACGGTTCTGGAGCTCGGGCCTGGGGTGGGTCTGGATTCTAGGCTCTGCTGACCCTGGCACAGGCGTTGGATGAGGACCACAGCTACTGTGAGCCTAAGTGCCACCTTGTCCAAGGTCGCTCGGGGTTGTGGGGCCTGGCACCCAGGCCGTGCAGAGCCTTTGCCCACCTCTGGTTCTTCCGGGGCTGCTTTGCCCAGGTCCCTGATCTGGTGGGCTTCGTCTGTGGTAAATGCTGTGCTTGCCTCCACATTTGTGTATTCCTGCCTGAGGGACAGGAGTTGGAGGAGGGGGCAGCTTGGGCACCAGGGCCCCTGTGGGTGCAGACAGCTGCTTCCATGCCTGTGTCACACCCCCTTGGCTGTGCTGCCTGCCCCACCCCCCACCTCAAGCAGGGCTGAGCGGCCCAGTAATACCTGCTGTGAGTAGCAGGAGGAGACATTTATCTTTCTACAGATGGAGGAGAGAGGCCCAGGCCAGGCTTAGATGGGGGTCCCAGCAGGGGAGAAGCCTGGAGGGCCAGGGGAGCTATCCAAGACATCTGTGCTGAGGTGGCAGGGCTGTCGGGGGAGCCCCCTTTGCCATTGTCCCACTGCACCCTAGGGCCCCTTTCCTGGGGTTGCAGATAATGTGGGGTCTGGCTTGGGTTTGGGAAGGGGGTGGCCTGCTAGGCTGGGGAGGCTTGGGGTCCGCCTTCACTCCACTGCCCCTCCCTGCAGCACCCCGCCCCCCTTCTGACTGCAAAGACAGCCCTCATGTTCCTTGCTGCTATGCAGGAGCTGCGTGGAGGGGTGGGTAGGCGCCCCAGAGCTCCAGGTGACTGAGGCCACGGGCATTGCAGACCTGGGGCCTGTGAGGGCTGGACGAGGGTTGGACAAGGCCTGGACGAGGGCTGAGCAAGGGCTGAGCGAGGGCTGAGCGAAGGCCTGTGAGGATCTGGGAGAGGGCCAGGTGTGGGGCCAAGGGGGGACTGGGTGAGGACTGGGTGAGGGCTGGGTCCCACCCCAGCCACTTCCCTGCCTGCCATCCCCAGCTCCTATCTGGCCTCTCCAAGCTGCAGAATTTTCTCTTGAGCTGGGACCTCTGCCTGCTAGGAGCTTGGGCCCTTCCCTCTCCCCCAGAGGGCAGCACTGAGGCTCAGAGAGCTGAGATCATGAACCAGCCTGCGGGTGTTCAACACATGGAACACAGATTTGTTTGGGAGGCAGAGAGAGCCGGGTCCTTTCATGTGGGGACATGGGCATCTTCCCTGGCATCTTTGCCCCAGACCCAACGCCCACTTCTTGCGTCCTGGGTTTGGGATGCGCCTGGGCGTGCAGGCCCCGAGGCAGTGGAGAGGGGCAGCTTGGTGCCAGGTGTGATCCTGTTTAGGTGAGGAGCAAGTCCTAGAATGCTCTCAGCATCCAGCCCCGTGGCATGAAGGAGACAGCAGCCGACCAGGGCTTGCCCTGTGCCTCCCGTGTGCACGGGGCCGTGGGGCCAGGCGCTGAGGTTCATGCTGGGGAGTTGGGTATTCAGCTGCAGAAAAGAGGGGACAGTTTCTACGGAGCCCTGGCTGGGCACCAGCCACTGCACCAAGCACTCCCGGTCCGTCCTTCGCCTGTGAGACACCTGCAAGTTTAAAGCCTTGAACTTGCACCCCGTGTTCCCTCCCTTTGTCTTGTTTCTGGACCTCCCATAGAACACTGCAGGTGTACTGGCCCTGACCGCAGAGTCCTCGGGGGCACGTCTCTGAGGAAGAGGGCTGTTGCATCCTTGAGTGACCTCGGCGCCGTTGTCCCCTGCCCCGAGCAGGTGAACAGGCATCTGTCCTGCGTGGTGTAGCCCTGGTGCACCGTCTTGTGGATTTGTCTGATCGGGTCCTCAACCACGGGACTCGGACAAGGCTTCCCCCGCCTGTGTCAGGGCATGTCGCCTCCCAGGTCCACAGGTGCATGTCTCTGCTTAGAGCGCAGCCAGCTTTGGCAGGACAAAGGGAGGTGATGTCCGGGCAGGCTGCCAGCTGGGAGCATGGGGAGCCTCCCAGAGCCTAGACACGGTGGCTGAGAACGCAGGCCTCCGAGTTGGCTGTGACCTTAGGTTTGTCCCTTGGGTTACCGCCCCCAGGCTCAGCTTGGTCTTTGAAACAGGGCCGGCCTCCAGGTTGATGTAGGGCGGTGAGTGGTGAGGGCAGCTGGGATTTGGACACAGTTGTCTAACTTGGGCTGACAAGGGGGGCTGGGGACTTGTGCACACCGGGCTTCCGTCTTCAGTGGAGCAGCCAAGGTGCTGGTCCTGGCATGGTGCCAGTGGACACCTGCTGGCCCTTGCTGTCTCCCACTAACCGGGCTCATCTCTCGCTACTCCTCGGCTTTGGTTACTGCTGATCACTCTGTTTTGGGGACATATTTTTTTGGGGGGAGGTGGCAAGCCAGCTGTGGCCCTTCTGCTCTCCAAGCTGCTGCCTCCTGGTGGCTGTGATGGGGAGTGGTGGGTGAGGGGTCAGTTAGGGACAGCTGGGACTTCCAAGCTCCTGGCCCGGTGACCTCAGCCGAGCTCCTGTGGTTGGTGTCACGTGATGGCACTGCTTGCTGACCCCTCCCCTCGGCCCCCAAGGCCCCGCAGCTCGCTGGCTGACTCCAGGTGGCTGGGGCTCTGGCCCCTTGGGGACCGTGGCCTGCTGGTCAGGAAACACAGGATTGTACCTGCCAGGGCCTTCTGATGGCCATAAGGGCAGTGAGTATGTGGAGCGCCACAGGCCCACTTCATAGATGAGGAGACTGAGGGGAGGGGAAGCTGCCGGCCTCAGGACACGCAGACTGGGCAGGCGGTGTGACCTGGTCCAGTTCTGAGCCCGCAGCCTGGTGTACCTGGCTATGCAATGACAGTCACCTGTAACTGCGGGTTTGGGCTTATGCCCGCTGCCCTGGGGCTGATCGCCCTTCCCAGTTCCAGTCTGGGCGTCACTGGAGAGACCTTCCCCTTAAACCCCACACCTGAAGCCCTTTGCTAGAACCTTCTCTGGACGATCACGTCCTCTCTCGCCCGGTCTGGTCTCCCGGGTAACTCCCACCGCCGCGGCTGCCCGCCTTTCATGGCACTTTCCCCTTCTGGGCTCGTGGAGGGTGGGTGCTGAGGAGGGATCTGTGCTGGGGTGGTGGTAGGGTGGCTCTAGGAGCCTGTGCGCCTGCTGTGATGGACAGTGGGGGGACGGGGAGGACTGGGGCCCAGGGAGCTGGAGGAGGAGCAGCTGGGGTCCTTTGTTCAGTGACTGCCCCAAGCACTGGGTGGGTTCCGACTTCAGCTGATCCAGTACTTTCCAGAAAAAAAAAAAATACGTTGTTTGTTTCATGGTTTGGTAGGCAATAACTTTTTGGGTTTGGCTTGGGTTTCAGCCATTCTCTCTTGCTCATTTCAGCTTTGGGGTTGGGGTTCTGTTTGCGTCCTGTCCATGAGAGGGGCTGGAGGGGAGGGGCTGTGCAGTGGAGGGGGTTCAGCCTTCTGTGAGGGCTCAGCATTGCTCTTGTGTGCCCTAGGCTGGGACGGTGCAGGCTGGGGCAGGAGGGGTGACGGCAAGGAGAGGCCTGGGCAGAGGCAGCTCTGGGTCTGGGGGTTGTTGGTGCAGTGGCAGCAGCAGCAGCACAGTGGGCCTCCACAGTGAGGATGGTCCAGAGCTGCCCCCTGCTGGATGTTGCAGCAGGCGCGCTGTGGGGTGGGCAGAGCAGGTGCCGGGAGGCGCTCGGGAGTCCTCACACGTGTGGCTCTTCAGCTAAAAGGTCCCTCTTGTTTTCTCTTGCAGTTACGGAGAAGGAGGTGCAACAGTGGTGAGTAGCTTTGGGGACGGGGGCTGGCCCAGGTGTCAGGGTCTGATTGGGAACTGGGGTGCTGGTTGTGTGCTGGTGGGAACATGCCGCAGGTGCTCACTGTGTCTTGAGACCACCTGCAGCTGGGCTGGGACTGCTGGCAGTGTCCTGCTGGGGCGGCTCTTAAAGGACCCCCAGGTCTCTCTGAAGGGCCTGTCCCCTGGAGGGGGAGGGATTCTGCTGCGTGGGAAGCCTGAGGCCCGGATGTGGCCTGGTCACTTTGGCGCCTGGGGATGCCAAGGTGCACCTGCTCCGTCTGTAATGATTCCTGAGTCTCCTGCTGGACATCAGCTCCAGTCACCCTGTGGGCGGCCTGGAGTGCTGTGTCCGGAAGGATCCTGAGGCTGCGTGTCTGGAGTGGTGATAGATTAGTGATGTCTGTCCTGGCTGGGGGGAGGGAGGGGAGAGACCTGCTTGCTAGCATTGTGAGTCTTGGTGTGTGTGGGGGTGTCCCACCGTGTGTGGGGCCCCTGAGCCGGGGATCAGCAGGCAGGGGGGCAAGGAGACGACCCTGGAGATCACCTCGTTTGCCCCAGGGTCACTGTTTGCACCTCCTGTGCCTCCCGTGACAGCCCACTCTGCACTCAGGCTTGGTGGCTGAACCTGGATGGAGAGCAGGTGTGGGGGAAGCACCGACCACATCCGAGGATGAACCTATGAGCTTGACCTGCTTCCTGCTCCCCCTGCTCTGGTGTGTCCTGTGACCATTGAATGAGCTCGAGTGGCCACAGCCAAAGCAGGTGCAGCGACTCACATGGAAGCCAGGGCCGGGGAGAGCAGTGGTTAGAGCAGCTGCATGGGCAAAAGCCCTCATCTGCTTTGTGGCACCTGCGGGAGGGCTCTGGGCAGCAGATGTGGGCAGGCTGGGGAGGAGGGCAAGGTCCATCCTTGGGAGAGGCGGATGCCCCCAGGGACACCGCTGTGTCCCTGGTCCCCATTGTGGTGTTGAGGACAAGGATATTGGGTCCTGCTGCGGCCAGGCCTTTCCTCAAGGGGCAGGTGGCTAGGGGCCTGCATCCCGGCTATGTGACCTTGCACGAGTATTGGACGTGGGTCCTCAGCATCCCTCCTGGAGTGTGAGGGTAGGATTTTATCAGAATACTGTGAAGCACGCATGTACCAGGTCACATGGGATGTGGAGCAGAACTTGAAGGTTCTCTCTGTTGGTGTTGAAACCACACTGTGCGGCTGGTGACACCTGCCCCCCACAGTGGAGAGCCTACTGAGGTTCCAGCTGCTCCACTTCCCATCCAGCTCCCTGCTGACGCACCGCGGAGGCAGTGGGAATGGCCCAAGTGCTCGGGCCCCTGGGTGCAGTTTCACACTGCTGACTTTATCCTGGCTGCATCCGGACTGTTGTGGGCATTTGGGGACTGAACCTGTAGATGGAAGATCTCTCTCTCGTTTCTCTCTGACCAAGACAGAGTCCCCACCCCTGGTGTGCACTGAAATACAGCGTTGGACACCCACTGGCAGAGCCAAGTGCCAGGGAGAAAATGATGCAAAGAGGGTGGGGCCTGCATCAGAAGGGTTGGGGTGGACCTGTACCGGCCAGAGGGCGGGGCCTATGTCAGAGAAGGGCTCTGATCTGTTGCATTGCACGGCGAGTACCAGTGGAGCCTGGACCAGAACTCAGGTCCTGATGCCTCTCACTCAGGTCCCTGGGACCCTGGGAGAACCCCAACCCCAGGGCCCTGTGATGTGAGGCCTGGCTGGACCAGCTGGACATGCCCATCCTGCACCCAGGTCCTCTCAGTGTGGAGGCGAGAGCCTCCCTCCCGCCAGGAGATCAGGAACCCAGGGAGGCTGAGAGATGGCAGGCACAAGGTCCCAGGCCCCCGAGGGTGAGTGTGACATTGTGGCCACCTGGGAGATGAGGAGTGCGCCATCCGGCCTGAGGACAGCAGGGTAGACACAGCTCTGTGACAGGAAGCTAGGGAGCGAGCAGAGGCTGGAGGCGGCTGGTGGTATGTGTGCCGCCGCGGGACCGTGCATCCCGTGGAGGTCATCCTCTTGTTTTCTTTCTTCTAAAATATTTTGTTTCATGGAGAGGCAAGGGCAGATGAGAGAGCATGAACGCCCTCCCGAACACGGCTCGTTCTCCAAGTGGCCGACAGGGTCAGGGCTGGCCCCGGCTGGGAGCCCAGCAGCTCGGTGAGGTGTCGCGTGTGGTGGCAGAGAGCCAGGGACTTGAGCCATCACTGCGGCTACCGAGGCAGTCGGTCCCCGAGCAGCGTCCTGCCTACCACGCCACACACCTGCACCTCTCCTGAATGTCCTGTTTTCTAGATTCTGACTGGCTCCATTGCTTTGACTAACCAAGGACCCCAGAAGTGTTGTAATATCAGCAGTGGCTGGTCGGGTGGGCGTGTTGGAATGCCTGTGTCTCACCGTGAAGTGCTGGTTCCAGTTCCTACTGATGCAACCTGGAAGGCAGCAGATGGTGGCCCACATTAGGGGGCCCTGCTGCCCACCTGGGAGACCCGGCTGGAGGCCCGGACCAGCTCTGGCTGTGGTGGGTTCTGAGGAGCAAGCTGCTGGAGGGAGGATCTCTCTCCTCTCTGTCGCTCAGCTTTCTGGGGAGAAAAGCAGGTGCCAGCGGGGTGGGGGCCCTGCGGCCAGCTCAGCAGGACTGGCTGCTGTCCTGGGCTGTTCTCTGTGGGCAAGGGTTGGGGGAGCCCCCACAGGGCCAGAGATGCCTGCCCAGGCCGCACACAGCTGTGTGGGTGTGCATGTGTGCAGAGCAAGTACACATGGGCGTGTCAGTGTGTGTGCACAAGAGCTGGTGTGCTTCGGGAGTGTGTGTGTACTGGGAAGCATGCACATATGTGAACACATGTGAGCTGGTGTGCTTCGGGAGTGTGTGTGTACTGGGAAGCATGCACATATGTGAACACATGTGAGCCAGTGTGCACATGTGTTGGGAGCATGCAAGTGTGTCCCCAAGAGCATGTGTTCCATGTGTGGAGTCTGGGGCCAGCTTCTGCCTCTGTGGCCCAGACCGTTGGGCCGTGACCATGCTAGCTCTCTGCTGTGGGGAACTCACAGCACTGAGGAAGGGGAGTCTTCCTCATGGGTGTTGGGGTCTATGCAGGCCTTGGGGGGCCCTGGCAGGCGAGGTGCTGGGGGGAGGCTGGGCTTGGCTGACTGCAGCTGCTGCTGTGTCCTGCGGTTTCCCATCTTGCTGCTCTTACCCACCTCCGCTGGCCTGCAGGATCCGGAGGGCGAGGAACGCCGGGACCCTCAGAGACCAGAGGCCAAGCTGCAAGCGTTTGTTCATTCATTCCACCTTTTTTTTTTTTAAGGATTTATTTATTTTCATTGGAAAGGCAGATTTGCAGATTTGCAGAGAGAAGGAAAGGCAGAAGTATCTTCTCTCTGCTGGTTTACTCCCCAAGTGACTGCAATGGTGGGTGCTGTGCCGATCTGAAGCCAGGAGCCAGGAAATTCCTCCAGGTCTCCCACGCAGGTGCAGGGTCCCAAAGCTTTGGGTCGTCCTCGACTGCTTTCCTGGGCCGCAAGCAGGGAGCTGGATGGGAAGTGGAGCTGCCGGGATTAGAACCGGTGTCCGTATGGGATGCTGTGCTTGGAGGTGGAGGATTAACCAGCTGAGCCATTGTACCGGCCCCCATTCCACGCTTTCTGAGCACTGACTCTGTCCTCAGGTGTCAGGGTGAGGGGAGAGGAGGCGCCTGAGGTGGAGGCCCGTGGAGGGTCAGAGTATTTCCTTTTCTTCTTTGCTCTTCTGGGAACATGAGTGTGCCATTGGGGTCTGGAATGGTGCTCGAATCTCCTCCTAGGGATGCTGGCAGAACAGGGCAGCCCGGGGTAGGCTGACTGTGACCTCCTGCCCCTCGTATGTCCAGGGCTCGGCGCGTGGCCAGTGCCCACGACAGGCTGTCCTGTTGACAATACACTCATTCAGGTGGGTGTAGCTGGGTCCCATCTCACAGATGAGCAAACTGAGGCTCGGGGAGAGAGTCACCAGTCCAGGCTCACACCTGGGCCAGTCTCACCAGATCTGATTTGGAGGCTGAACCTTTTTTTTTTTTAAGATATATTTTATTTTTATAGGAAAGTCAGATATTCAGAGAGGAGGAGAGGCAGAGAGGAAGATTTTCCGTCTGTTGGTTCACTCCCTAACTGACTGCAATGGCCGGAGCTGAGCTGATCTGAAGCCAGGACCCAGGAGCTTCTCCCGGGTCTCCCTCGAGGGTGCAGGGTCCCAAGGCTTTGGGCCGTCCTCGACTGCTTTCCCAGGCCACAAACAGGGAGCTGGATGGGAAGTGGAGCTGCCGGGATTAGAACCAGCGTCCATATGGGATCCTGGCGCTTTCAAGGCGAGGACTTTAGCCACTAGGCCACCACGCTAGGCCCTGAGCCCTTGTTTTTAAATAAATAATAAAAAGACTTGTTAATTGTTGGAAAGGCAGAGTTACAGAGGAGAGAGATCCATCTTCCATCTGCTGGTTCTCTCCCCAAATGGCCTCAGGTGGACAGGTTGAAGCCCAGAGCCAGGAGCTTCCTCTGGGTCTCCCAAGGACTTGGTGTGTCTTTAGCTGCTTTTTCAGGCGTATTAGCAGGGAGCTGGCGGAGAAGCAGAGCATCTGGGACTCCAGCAGTGTCCACATGGGAAGCTGATGCTGCAGGTGCCGCAGCACTGGCCCCTGATCCAGCTTTTTAAAAAAGCACATGCTGTCTCCTCTCCTCCCCCCATCCCTTCTTTTTCGCCGTCTCCTCTATTACAGCTCTTCTACCTGCCGTCTCACTTCCCCGACGCTTCTACCTGCCAGGCCTGGAGCAGACTCTCTCCAGGTCCCCATGTGGGTGGCAGGGATTCTGGCACTCATGCTGTCATTGGATGCCTTCACGGGAAGCTGGATGGGAAGAGGAGCAGGCACTGGTGGTGTAGAAAGTGGGCGTCTCAAGCACCCACCTGACCTACTGCACCACCACGCCCA